GTCATAAATAGAACGAGGCATCAGTTTACTGCATCCAGTGTAGACAACATCACTGATTATAATGGGTTCTATTCTACACCGGACGCGAGCGGTATTTTGTATTTTGTCGTGCCACGAGATGTGATGTGACCGATGTGATAACCATGAGTTCTGGGCCGCAGCGTGGCCGGTATAAACACCAGCATTGACTCAGTGGCCACGATTAGCTCCGGTGGCCATAACACAGGCATTAATGCGCCGCAGACGCGTGCCGTGATGCACAGATCAGCTCTAGTCTCTAACGTCACTGAATCTGCTGTTAAAAATGAACCATTCATTCATCATATCATAATGCAAAACTAAGAATTAGAATCATTGTAATGTGATGATCAAATATAGGTGCAGGTGGGTGGCGGGCGGATAATTTGAAGCAGCGGACTCGGGTGAAGTTTGCGCGCCATCCGTGCATTTCTACACTACACTGACATGGATCGCCAGTAGCAAACAATGGAGCGTGCTCTGCTGGACAAACTAAGTAATTACACCATTTCAAGCATTTTATCTGCGTTATATGTTCTGTAAAAAAGATTTCATATCGGCGGCATATTCGCAGATACCGATATATCGGCGACAGGCTCATATCGGCCGATAATATCGGCTAAACGATATATCGGTCGGGCTCTAGTCCTCTTATCCATGAGACGTGGATAAAAGCTAACCGTGAGGTGCATCAGTGCAGCTCCTCCCTTTTCTCAAGTCCCTCCATCAGTCGCTGATATCCAAACACCTCTCAGGCGGCGCTAAGACAAAGAAGCATTTCAGAAACATGTTTGACACAGGCACAGAAAGAAATCAATGAGCTGTCAGCTCAATCTCTTCCCTCGGTGTGCCTTAATGGCTCAGACGAGAGAAGACAGTGCAAGCTTGACCCCATCACTTATAAAGTCATCCAAGCTTCGATTTCACTTTAAATGACAATCTGCAGGGTTAAAAGTGCAGAATTAAGAGATATTTTGATTTAACTAGCCTTCAAGCCCCATGTGGACATTAACCTCAGGGACGCCTTGAAGAAATTTAAGAGGGGAAGCAACTAGTCACTTTGTATGTAGCCACCTGGTATCTACAAGTAGGGCTGGGTAAATTTTCGATATCGATACCTTGACTTCGATACCGGTTCCTGAACGATACTTTTTTCGATACCAATTTTATGAAATCAAGTTTATCAAGATTACATTATCTAAAAAAAAACCTGAGGTTTTATTTTTCAGCTTGTTGATGTTTATACAAACTCAAAGACTCATCTCCTGAGCCACTGCACAAAGGAACAAAATGTAACCAACACAATAAATCAGTGCAAATGGTTTTAATAAAGCTCAAATAGTCTTCAGTTTACACATCTGTTAGGCATTTACACGAGTGCGTGTTCGTTTTAAAACGCAGCTCAGACAGAATCATGATTTCTATTTATTTTCCACTGATTTACTGATGAGCATTAGCAGCTTCCAGCGCTGTCTGCTTGTGTTCTCTCTTCCATGATCGCTGCTCTGAGGTAATAACATATTTAATTTCAGCAACATTACATGGCCAAAACACACATTAGACGGCAATCGGAAGTTATTACAAACACTCGATGGTGGTTTAAAGTGAGTTTTGAGTAAAAGCGGAATATAAATCTTATTCATTGTCTTATGTAGCATGATGCTACAGTTTGCATAAATGCTCATGTAACGCGCTTTCGGTCGTGTAGTATGAACGGACATCTGCATATGATCGGAACTCCACGCAGTTCCAGCGCTACTTTCCATTGGAAATTAATGACTGAATGACCGGTCTGTCGCTTGTCGTTTGTCGGAGATAGTGGAAAGTCGGCTTGAAACGCAGTGGAAACGCCAGTATGATGAGGATAGTTTTCATTTTAAAACAAACGCACCAGTGTAAATGTAGTCTTACATCTAAGGGGGCTGGGACGCATTCACACTACAGCCTCACGTGTGCGCCACATCTCTGAGTGTAACCGGTGTAAACTAGTAGGAGTGTTCGACTTGACACGGACTGACTGTGCAGACCGATCGGTGTATAACAGTACCACGAGAGCTAAAGAGAGCAGACTGCTCCGTGCGCTTTCGAATCGCTCTCGCGGATGTCAAACACTGATCGATCTGTGCTACACCTCTTCTAGTCGAACACACCGGCTAGTGCTGCAGGCTTATTGGCTCACTGACGCTGATGAGATTAACACCTAATGTATCGAAATTTGGTACCGAACGACGAGACGTTTTTCGATACTCGATGGTATCGAGGCATTTCGGTCTGTGCCTAAAAAGTATAGAACTCGATACCCAGCCCTATCTACAAGTGAAGCTGCACACTCATAATGACAACCAAACATCTTGAATTCCCAAAATAAATGATTCTACTGGTTCAGAATGACATTCTATGCTAAAGGAAACTGCTTATATCAAAGCTCTTGTGACACAGCGCGCCGGGAACGGGTGCAGAAAAACTTCTGTCAGCTTCTTTAAGGATGTCTTCAGTGGTAAGCCATGCTACAGGGGATAATTGGTAGCGGTGTGCATCCACTAGCAAATAAAAACAAGGGCAGCCATTACATACTGAGCCCAGATGCTCGGAAGCACCTCCGTCCCTCTCCTCTTAATTAGGTTGCACAACACGAAGGGAACCAGGCTATTTTTAGCCCCTTTAACTACTGAGGGCTCTCAAAGACCAGGAGAGAGTAGAAACAAGAGAGAGAGACAGAGAGAGAGAGAGAGAGAGAAATGTCACCTTTATTTTTAGAGGACACTGGAGCTACAAAGGTCAGAAAAATAAATTTCAGACATGTTGCTTGTTATCTTCGGTCAGAAAATTTAGACTTGACCCTGAAATTGCCTCCAAAGATAACAGTGAATTCATCTTGAGAACGTTACGAATGAGATTACGCTGAAGGCCAATTGCACAAAATCAATTTCAAAGAGCGAATCAACTAAATCAAATATTGCATTTCATACACAGGCCTTCTGATGCAAGGCATTCAAATAGCAAAATATCTGTATTATAATTCACTTGCCCTCATTGCAGAGTAATATTTTTGTTTTCAGATTCCCTTATTAAATGGTTTTACAAATAGCAGACAATCTTTTCTATACAATATTAAATCCAAAACTGACTTAACACTTTTTTTAGACAATTTTCCGGCATCATTAATGTCAAAAGCTCAAACGGCGAGAGTTGCACCCCACAGTTTTATATACAGAGATATACAGTGGGTACGGAAAGTATTCAGACCCCCTTCAATTTTTCACTCTTTGTTATATTGCAGCCATTTGCTAAAATAATTTAAGTTAATTTTTTTTCCTCATTAATGTACACACAGCACCCCATACTGACAGAAAAACACAGAATCGTTGACATTTTTGCAGATTTAAGCAAAGGGTCTGAATACTTAGGACCATGTGATATTTCAGTTTTTCTTTTTTAATAAATCTGCAAAAATGTCAACGATTCTGTGTTTTTCTGTCAATATGGGGTGCTGTGTGTACATTAATGAGGAAAAAAAATTAACTTAAATGATTTTAGCAAATGGCTGCAATATAACAAAGAGTGAAAAATTGAAGGGGGTCTGAATACTTTCCGTACCCACTGTAGGTTTTCCTGAACACCTTAGCCAAAGCATCAGCAATAGTAATAAGGATGACTGCCTTAGAAAGCATCACTAATAATTATATCACAGCCCACTTTCACAAGCTAATCAAATGCTAATGGGTAAATCAAGTCTCACTCTACAGTATTGCCTGCTGCACTCAGAAATGGGTCACATTACAGAAGTTAAAAGGCTTAGTTTACCCCAAAATGAAACTTGTGTCATTATGTACTCACACTCCTGCCAATACAAACCCATATGCAGTTGACTTTTGCTTTTAACACAGGAGAATGCTAAACCAGCTACTCTCCATACAAAGATTCACAGTGCTCATGTCTGTCACAATTCAAATATAAATAAGCAACAATATATTTTTTGGCTACTATTTAAGTTTAAATACCACGTCGTGCATTTAAAATCATTTAATGCACGGCAAGCCGTTAATTATCCCTTACATACAACGTTTACCATCCAACCTGACAGAACTGGAGAGGATCTGCAAGGAGGAATGGCAGAGGATCCCCAAATCCAGGTGTGAAAAACTTGTTGCATCTTTCCCAAAAAGACTCATGGCTGTATTAGATCAAAAGGGTGCTTCTACTAAATACTGAGCAAAGGGTCTGAATACTTAGGACCATGTGATATTTCAGTTTTTCTTTTTTAATAAATCTGCAAAAATGTCAACGATTCTGTGTTTTTCTGTCAATATGGGGTGCTGTGTGTACATTAATGAGGAAAAAAAATTAACTTAAATGATTTTAGCAAATGGCTGCAATATAACAAAGAGTGAAAAATTGAAGGGGGTCTGAATACTTTCCGTACCCACTGTATATATATATATTTGGTTGTTTATGCCATGTCACCATTTAAGGCTATTTTCATGGTAAGAACAGAATAGAATCAGTTAAAAAATATTAAACATATTTAAAAGGGGATAAGGGGTGCTTCACATTGTATAACATTTCCAGTTATGTTATGTACAGTCATACAGCCCTAGTATGGCTAGAAGAAAAAATAAATAAATACAAAACCCATCTTTGGCCAGATCTTCAAAAAGATTAAATTCTCAGCTTCGACTGCTGTCCTGAGGCCAGTGCCATATCCTATTCTGTCCATCAAACTCAGTGGAGACACAATAGCACAATGCTATAAAGAAGGATATAACAGGCTGTCTAATCTCCCACAGCTCATGCTCGATTGATTCAGAACAGCTGCGCAAACCGCTTACATGTCTTTTTTTTAACCCGTTGTTTAAAAGAGAACTGTGTCAAAGCACCAGGTTTTATTAGCTGTGATTAGATGGGGTTTATTATGATAGAGCCTAATGGAATGCCATCAGCGCAGGCGTGAAGTTCTGCACTGGAGTCCTGTGTCTGAAACACAATGAGACGTCTATGTAAAGCTCCTCTTAAGAGACAAACAACAATGGAGTGTCCGTGTCAGTTTGTACATTGCTCTTGTTATCCAGGCTCCATTTGTGCTGAGGCAGGACAAAAGATGCTTCAGGTTTCACTAAAGGGGGGGACAGAAAAACTGTTTCTGATAAGGCCATAGTCCTTTCTTTTTTTCCTCATGTACAAGCTTCAGGTTACTGGTAGAAATAGACAGATATGATACGATTGGCTGATATGATTGCAAATAATGACAATGACAATTTATTGGTCTATTGTTCTAAACAGCATTCACAAAAACTAATAATCTAGATCACATGTAATCAAGCAAAGCATTTTGAATGTACAGGCTTAAAGATAATAAATATCTGTGTTAGCACTTGAAATTGTTTATTTAGAAAATTAAATTCTGACATCAACTGCTCCATCATTAAGTTTTGTCTTTTAGACCACATACCTCTAGAGGTTTATGTTTTCATAATGAGCATTGCGAATACATTACAATAAACATTTTTATTATCAGTTATCTTAAAGGGGTCATATGATGCTGCTAAAAAGAACATTATTTTGTGTATTTGGTGTAATGAAATGTGTTTATGCGGTTTAAGGTTAAAAAAACACATTATTTTCCACATACTGTAAATTGTTTCTCCTCTATGCCCCGCCTTTCTGAAACGCGTCAATTTTTACAAAGCTCATCGGTCTGAAAAAGCGAGGTGTGCTCTGACTGGCCAGCTATCCAGTGCGTTGTGACTGGCCGAATTCCTCAAGCGTGTGACGGAAATGTTACGTCCCTTACCATATTGTGATGCCTGCGGCAACCACATGTGACGACCCCGGGCTGGACTCCGCTTCGCCCATGGTGAAAGCCGATCTGGCGATCGACAGCGCGAAGTTGAAGTATTTCCTCAGCGACCAGCACGGATCAGCTCCAGGCATGACAAAGC